ATGAGGGCGACACCAGCCACATGGTAGCGCTGGCCGGGAGTGGAGCGAGAGCCTCATCAGCCCCCCCGTGCAGGGGGGCAGCGCCCCGGCCGGGACCCCGGCCCAGCTCCCCACCTCCTGCTTGTTGATGGCCGCCTGCAGCAGCTGCACCACGTCGTGCCCCTCCACGTCACTGCAGTGGACGTCCTTGGACCAGGCGATGAGCTCGCCCTGCGGAGAGCACGGCCCGGCCGTCGGCGCCCGGTGTCGCAGCAGCTCAGTGCCCTGCTGCGAGCGCCCAGGGAGCCGGGGCAGCCGGGGCCGCCTCGCTCGCCTGGTCCAGCCGCGTCTGCCTGCAGCTGAAAGGGAAGACGTGCTGCTCACCCTACCCAGCGCCCCGCGGCCAGCGATATCCTGCTCCCTGGCCCCGCACGTAGCGGGGCACTCGGGGCCGCCCTCCGCCGCAGCCCTGCCCGTACCGCTTCCCCCTTGCCCTGCATGATGTCCTCCGGCGTGTCGAAGAGCTGCTCCTTCAGCTGCAGGTTCTGGTTCCCGTCACCCGGCAGGGTCACCCAAAGGGTCCTCACGTGTCTCCGGCGCAGCTCCACCACCAAGAAGTCGCCCTTTTCTGCCGGGGAGCAGACGTGGTGTCAAATCCCCATCGTCCCCAAATCTCCTCCTTACCTGTCCTGAATAGTGCTGCTTTCCCCCCCTGGTGGGCAGCAGTTCCCAGCCTGGGAGCAGTGCAGGGGCGGGGGAAGCAGCCCCTGGACTCTGCCCCTTGGCAGCAGGAGCCCGCGCAAGGTGGCAGCTCCTGTTGCAGCTGTCCCCAGGCGCATCCCCGGCCGGGGGCCTTACCGGTGCCGTCAGGCGTGGAGCACACGTAGGTGGGCAGCATGTGCACAGTGGCCTGTGCGTGCGTCTGCTGGCTCAGCCCCTTGGCCATGGCCTCCAGCATGTGGCCCTTCACCTCCTGCAGCGTCTCCAGCGACACGGTGAGCTCCATCAGGGCTCGCTGCACCTGCGGGTGGCTCGTCAGGGCCTGTCTGAGGACACTTTGTCCCAGGCGCCGGGGCAGGGACCAGTCTTACCGGCGTGAGGGAAGGAGCCGCGTCGCAGCGCCCCAGCGGCAGGTTCCCCTGGGGCCTGCATGGCAGGAGGTGGCCCGTCATCTGGCTGAGCCTGGCTTTGTCCAGCCGTGGCCGTGCCAGCGCCAGGGGCACCCGAGAGGCCACACGGCCCCAGGCCCTCACCGG